TGGCCAGCCTGGGATACGGAGGAACCCAGTCTGAAAACGACAGCAACAATAAAAAGGGATGGGATGGGGTGGGGTGGGGTGGGGCGGGGGGCTTGTAGCTGCGAGAGAACTGCGTTTGCCGTTCACTGCATTGTCCTGGTACCAAGCCTCTGGGCCGGCCTGCTCTGCTGCGGACGGAGGGAGGTACACCAGGAGAAAGCTGTAAAGGAGGGGGACTGTGCCAATGCCCGGCTGTTATCGCGGCGGGTTCTTCTTTTAACTAACCAGCACTATCTCCACGTGACAGATGGGGACTGAGCTCTGGAGAAACTCGACCCTGCATCGCTCCCGCCGCCGCTTTGGCTGGCCTTAGATTCCTGCCTGCCTGCACTCAGGGCACCGGCAGAGCCCAATCCACCCACTTTGCACTGATGCCCCGCCCACCCCGGAGCTCGCCCCGCCCACCCCGGAGCTCGCCCCGCCCACCCCCGCGCTCCCCGGCCCGCCCCATCTTTTATCACGGCTGGTAATGTTTGTTTTCCCAACACCTCCACAATTACCGAGGAGTCTGCAAACAGCGGTGTGCCTGTGACGCCCTGCAGTGAGCTGGGAGCTCGCTTCCCGGAAGGATGCCCAGGCAGTTCTCACCTGCCCCAGAGAAGGAGCCTGGCACCAGGCACTGACTGAAGGAGCTGTGAATGAGGCCAGGAGGGGATGCTGAAACAGGCCAGGCAGAGATGCTTCTCGTTAACATCTCTCCATAAAAGCCCCGAGTTCCTATATCCAGCTGGTGTCTGAATGGGGCTGATCATAAAACAGGGAGGCCTGGAGGCGGAGGGCAGCTGTGTGGCCAGGGGGCTTTATAAGGAGGTTTTATGGACTCAGCTGAGATGTGGTGATGAGAAGCCAAACTTTAAACATCCTCCTAAAGTTCACTTTCACTCCCCTGGGGCTTCTAGCCGAACAGGATAGAGAAGGCCTGTGGAGGAGCCACGGGACGGGTGGTAAGGCGGCAGGAGCCACGTGCACCCAGAGGAGGCAGCAGGAATCACAGCAGGCAGGCTGTAAGTTAGGTAGGAGGAAGGACTTGCCTCTGGGCTGGGGCACAGAGAGCGGTGATATGGGATCGGAGGAAATGGGCTGACTGACTCACCTTATCACTGCCCCCTAAGAGGTTGTTTTCACTTTCAGCAGCCTTGGCTGACGGGAGGAACTGAGGTTATGACCAAGATCTGCCCAGGAGCTGGAAGCCTGCATCAGAGGCCAGCACTAGCCAGGTCCTCTCTGGACCGAGATGTGAACATTTCCCTGCTTGTACTGTCGCGGGGAAGACAGGACAGAGGTGGTCTGGAGCGAAGGACTGAAGCAGAGAGAAGAATGGGAAAGGAGAGGAAGGGATGGGAGCTGGCGGACCTGCTTCCCAGGTTGGTGGGACCCTGTGGGTGTGCTAGCCTTCATTTTACTGCCATGAGCTTGGCTTGGCTCCAGGAGCAGCCTGTCTGGCTGACCTGTGGGCTCCCCGGCTAGATACTGGACTCGGGATTCTGATTCAAGCCCATGACAGACCCTAGCCAATCAGGCTGGACCCATGTGGGTGAGCTCTGCTAACTAAGGCTACTCTGAGCCCTGAGGTCTTGCTGCCCATGGGCCTGTCCCCTGGGAGGACCCGACTATACTTACTCTCCCGGGAACAGAGATGTAGGGGGAGTGGGGGTCTTTGCCGTAAGAGCAGCCAGGGTGCTCTCCCGGTGCCTTGGCTCATCTGTTCTAGAATCCAGCCTTGGACCCAGGTCCTGCTGCTGATGGGGCACCACAAGGGGAAACCGCCCCAGGGTGCCCTCTGTGGCTGCTCCCTGCAGAGCCTGCCAGCTGGAGGGATGGGGAAGTGGAGCCCGCACAGTCCTCCCTCAGCGGTGAGCCTGGTCCAGCCCCCTCGGAATTCACAGTAGGAAAACAAACAAACAAACAAAACAAAAAAACACCAAAAAAACAAAACAAAAACAAAAAACAAAAAACAAAAAAAAAAACAGGGAAAGGAGAAAACCCGGAGTCCCTGCCCCAGGCCTGGAGCTTTAGGCCTTGATCCTACAACACCCTCAGGAGAACTGGGCTCACTTTCCAAGGACGGGACTAAAGGTCAGATAGGAAGCAGGCCCAGAGAGCTTGTATAACTCGCCTGCAGCCACAGAGCAGGCAGGACCAGGGAAAGAACACAGCGTTCTGCCCTTCTAACCTGAGGTGTTCTGAAATGAGCAAACCTTCTTCCTTCTCTTTTGGGCGCCAGGTGGGGGTAGGGGGTGGACGGATAATCCGTGACTTGCTGTGAAGAGCGGGGGGGGGGGACGACGACGACGACGACACACATTCACACTCCAGAGCGCTAAGAAAGGACGACCTTTGCTTTCCAGAGCTACTGGTGAGAGTGGGACAGGGGCAGGCTGTCCTGGGACACCGCCACGCCACGCGGAGGAGCTTGCAAAGGCCTAGCAAATCTGCAGAGCTCCATCTGAGGAGCCTGAAGAATGGACCGGTAGAGGTGCTGATGGGCCTGGCCATTCACACGACCCCAGCCTCCCGAGGCCCCTGGAGCTTCTGAAGGGCATCCATTAGGGGCCACGTGCACTCAGGGAGTGTGGCTAGGGACTCCCAGGGCTGGGTGGATGGGGGGTGTCATTCTCCCCGAGGCTGGGATGTCAGGAGACCTGAGTTCGAATCCCGGCACTTCTACCCATTCATTCATTGGTGGAGGACACTGAACCCGACCCTCTCGGAAGTGACTATCAAAGCCTGCGTTCCAGCTCCCTTTGCCTGCTGCCCTGCACCCAGCCCGCGTGTAGGATCCAGCGTAGCATCCACCAGGATGGCATCCTCCACACACCAACACACACTTGGCTGCCCCAGCTCAGATTGGCTCCTTTTTCTTCAGGGGTCACCCACTAATCCATACTCAGTGACGTGTGGGTGCGGGGTGACGTGAGGGTCCTGGGACACAATGACAGCCATGGGGAGGAGGTGCAGGAAGCCACCGGTGCTGGGGTGCAAGGGTGCATATTCAGTGCCCAGTGGGAAACACACGGCTTCTGGATGCAGGGGACACGTTCTACGTTGCGGCCAGTGGACACAGGTGCCGCTTACGACGGCCTGGGAAAAGCCCTCAGAGAGTTGAGCCGAAGCCCATGCTGGTCATCTGATGATGACTTATTAATCATTTTAATTGTTGAAAATGTAAGTATTTGGCTACGTATCAAACTTCCAGCAGAGGCCGAAGCTTATGGCTGGGATGGGTTGTAATGGCCACTGTAGTATACTTTGCCAAAGGATCCCCACCCCCACCCCAGGAGGCGAATCAGAAAGCATTTGAGGCACCTAACAGATTACAGCAATGATATGTAATGGGAAAGGGCTGAGTTAGCCTCTGCCTGTCAGTAGGCACGCATCAACCTGCCCGCTGTCAACGTGACCCCCACGCCTGGCTGAAGGATGCCGGTGTAGCCGCGATCTGGTCTCTCAGCTGAGGCGTGAGTACCAGGACCTCAAGGAGGTAATGTCTTCCCGAGCCTGGCGAGGGGGCACCGACTGGGCAAAGGAGCCGGCTGGAGCCTGGCAGCAGAGAGGCTCTGGGGAGCTCGGTGTGGCCCTGTGCCCACCGCACAGCCAGGTACTACCGCCTAGCCACCAGGTGACCAGCAGCCAGAGATGCTGCTCTAGGTCCTGGCAACCTGGGCAAGGGAGGAAACCAGAAACAGGCAATATGGAGAAGCCAAGGCCTTGGGCTCCAGAAGCAGCACACAGGCTCCCCTGGCCCTGCCTTCGGGAGCAGGCATGGGCAGCTCCAACTAGAAAGACAGCTGTGCCACACACCTGTAATTAGGCAGAATGCTTGCTTTAGTACAGCCTAGCCGGCAATTCCTGCAACTTGGCCATTCACTAGACACCCCAAAATTCCTTTGTTATAAAGTTCCCACCGAGGACTGTCCAGTAGCCGGCCCTACCAAGAAACATCTAAGTGGCCAGGCAGATGGCTCCCGGAAAGGGACCTGCTGCCCTGCTGAGTGTGAACAGGAGCCACACTGCTGACCCTGCTGTGAGGACCTGGGAGGAGACTGCTTTCTTCTCTAGGGGGCAGGGAGAATGACCTTGCACATCTGTCCAGAAGCTGAGAAGCCATCTGGGAGAGACGGCTTGGGACGGTGGTCTCTCCAGTCCTCGATTCCAGGCTTCCTAAGGGGAGGAATCTACTCTGAATTCTTTGAAGGTCCCGTGTGTCTAGGCCCTTCGCCAACGGGGAATGGTAGTCACGTCAGTTGTAGGTTAAGAGCTGAGGTGGGCAGGGGTCGGGGAGTGGAGTGCATTTCCAGTTCTCTGGGGTTTCTTTGGAGGAAAAGGAGGCAGAGGAGGGTTCTGCTTGCTTCTTGGCTTGAGCCCCGGAAACTGAATGAGAGGCCCAGCATTGTCTGTTTTGTGATCACGCTGTCCATGCAGCGTCTGAAAGAAGCTCAATGCAGAGAAGAGCATAGTGTTCTGTAAAATGTAAAAAGTGTAAAGTGTGAAAATCTCAGGGACCTGGAAACCCCACGGTGCCCTGAGATGTAGTGGCCACCTTAGGTCACCTAATGTCACTAGTGGCCAGCCTGTCTTGGGGATGTGTGTACAGTAGATTTTGTTAGCCGCGGTACCTTCTCATCCCTTCCTGGCGTGGGCCCATACACTTCAGGTTATTATAACAGGTCCAGTCTCACTGGGAGATTTGCTTAATTCCCACCGCTTGGACAGGCAAACCCTTCACTGTAGCCGGCGGTACCCGGCAGAGCGGCTAACTTGCTCCCATGGGCTGAAACATGCCGTGGCTTGTTCCTATTCCAGCTCCCTCCTACAAAGTTTTCTACACACCTCATGCAAAACTCTGCCCCAGTATTGATTATCACATTTCATATGAAGTTAGGCATTGCAGGTCTCATGGTATTCACTTGGCTGGGCACAGGTGAGGGAAGGCATGACTCAGGGGATCCCCCAGTTTCGCCTCCTTCCAGTCCTGCCGGCCTCTCCCTGTCCTGACCCCTGGACGCCACCCTTCTTCCTCTGACACTTAGGGGAAACTCCACTCACAGGCCCCTTTATTCTGGGATGAAGGTCCTTTTCTGGTCAGCCCCGGGGTGTGCCCCAGAAAAACCCAGATGTATTTTTGCCTCCCTTACAGTGGGGCCGGCGGCCCTTGCGGACCCTGAATCAGGCAGCTTTTCATTCTTTCCCCTGTCACCCGACTAATGGCTTCTCCACAAAGCTTCGGGCCTCCAGGCTGCAGCGTCAGCAGCTCTGGGTGGCCCAGGGCTCACTTCCTCCAGGTACACACGAGCTGAAAATCCGGGTCTCACCCACATGCCCACATACCCTGGCCTGGCCCTCCCTTCGCAGCCATTACAATCTCAAGCATCACATTTCCATTCCATCAGAGTTGACTCCAGCTTTCTGGGGTCCCCCAGTGATGGTTTGGCTAGAGCCCTGTGTTCTGTGGCAAGACTTTTCCTGGGGAGATGCAACACACAGGTCTACTCACTCCAGAGAGAAATCTCACGACAGACCAAAGTCCAGCCTGGTGAACCAATGAGTTTTATTGGGGTCACTTACGGGAATGTGGGTGAGGGGTTACTTACAGGACCAGAAATGACTCACAGACAGCAGTGTCCCCAAAGCCCACCCCAGCATGGTGACAACTCACGAAGCTGGGAACCTGGAGCACACTGCACAGCCTAAAGGCATCCTAACAGGTTGGAGAGTGTGCTTTCCAAGTGACTCAGGTGATCTAAACATCTTCCGGCATCTCAGATGGTTTCTGCTTCTTCCAGGCAGCTGGTCTGGCCTCAGTTGTCTTTGTAGTTCGGCTCTCTGGTCTTGAGGGGGGGACTCTCAGCTTTCATTGCTCACTCTGGCAGGGAGGGGCCTAGTGAATCTGGTCAGTTTCAGAGAGTTCCTGCAGCTATTTTGAATTGTTCATCTTCCTGTTTGAAGAGCTTCTCTGCAGAATGGAATGTTTCAATCTTGCAGGAGACTATTACACAACGCCCTGCCCGGGGACCCATTTCCTATCACTACTACTGGAAGGCGCTTCCTTCCCCTTCCCAGGGTCTTCCCCTTTGTGCTCCACTGTCCTCTGAGGGAACAGTCAGCCTGTCTGGGATTCCTGGACTCATTTAGCAAAGCTGACCAGTATATCTATTATGCTTGGGGACAAACTCTGACCTGCATGCACAGGGTCAGAAAAAGAAAACAGCAGTCAAAAAAAATGTGAGACCAAGGGTTTCATGTGAGAGAAGCAGAGGAAACCTGGACAAAAGAAAAGCCCGGGATCATCAGGTCTATGCCATAGGGCCTGTGGGTACGCTGGAGACAACTTTGGGTCTGATAATGGAGTTCCAGTAAACTGGGAAACAAAGACAGGGTTTGAGATGAATCAGCTGTGCTTCCTTCCTGTGGCCCTAAAATTAGCCTCACCTGGAAGAGACAAACAATCATTGAAAGATCCAGGCTCCTTTTTCTAACCATGATGAGAATCAGATTCCTGAAAATTCCCTTAATTTTGAGGTTCCCTTTGGCAATAAGCCTCCTTAATTGTTCTGAAATTCACATGGCTATTTAAGACAAAATTATAACATTGTATGTGGGTTTTATAATTTATGTAGATGTAATACATATGATATTCACAGCATGAAGGAAGGGGGCAGGGAGTAATGGACATCTGTGGTTACAAAGTTTCTATGTTTTACTTGAAATAGTAACTCTAAGTGGACTGTGAAAAGTTAAGGATGCATTGTAATCCCTGGGGCAATCATTAAAGAATTAATGCAGAGAGGTATAGCTACAAACCCAATAGATAAATTTAAATGGAATTTTAAAATTCCAAAAGAAGGCAGGGAAGGAAGGATAGAGAAATAAAAAACAGAGGGGCAAAATAAAACTAAATTCAACCATATCAATAATTACATTAAATGTTAATGGACTAAACATTCCAATTAAAAGGCAGAGATTGTCAGATGAGATTTTTTAAAAAGACTTAATTATTTGCAGTCTACAGGAGATGTAATTCAAATCTAAAGACACAAGTTGAAAATAATGGCAGAGGAAAACAATCATACTCATGTATGCAACAAATAAAGTGTTTCAAATACATGGAGCAAAAATGGACAGAGTTAAAGAGAAAGGTAGACAATTCCATAATTAGAGTTAGAGGGCTCGTCAGTAAGGTCAGAATTCACTGCCAGGACAAATGTGTTTAGGAACTCATTTCCTGGGTTGGGCTGTGGGTTGCAGGCTGTTAAGACATTTCAAGAACTGACATGGTCCCAGGTGATTTTTCCCTCCAAACCAGGGGATTGAAAAAATATCAATCCTTATTTTTATGCGTGCATGAGAGTGCAGGCATATATGTGTGCGCCGCCAGAGCCTGCGGAAGCTAGAAGAATGTGTCAGGATCCCTGGAACTGGAGTTAAGGCTGCATAATGACCTACCCCATACAGGCGCTGGGAAGTGAACCAGGGTCGTCCTCAAGCGCAGCAAGTGCTGTTAACCCCTGGGCCATCTCTAGATTTTTTTTTTTTCTTACTAAGCCACTGGAACTGTTAGAGTGCCGATAATGTTCACGTGACAATGGCCTCTTCTGTCAGCTACCCCTGAACTAGAATAATACTAAAGTAATAGAGTGAATAACAACAAGGAGGCCCAAACAGCCGCATTATTTCATTATCAGCCACTCAGGGTCTCTTCATAACACACCTGATGAGCTGGCTCAGGTGACAAAGACCACGGCAAGAGCCAAGGTTGCCCTCAGTTGTCATCACGGTTTGTTTGGTCTAAAGAAGCAAGAGGCAGCCAGTACTTTTCAAGCTTGTCATGTATCACAACCAGAGGAACCCTTGTTAAAGCCGAGTGCCGGGCCCTGTGCCCAGAGTTTCTGATTCAGCAGGTCTGTCTGAGGTGGGATGTGATGCTGTCGATCTGGGGACACACTTAAGAACCACTAAAGCGAACAGAAGGCCAAGGGAGCTTAGCATTGGAAAGTCTCCTTTGGCACACTGCTCAGTGTTGCGTGTCAGAGCTTGGAGGTAAGGGTGAGGGGTGTGGCAGGAGGGCAAAGAAGCCTGCTTGGGGTTAGCTGGAACCCAAATCAGGAAGGGCCTCACTTAGAGTGAAGAACACAGACTCAACAGAAGCAGGAGTTCAAACCCCATGTGATCTACGTTTATGTGTAGGAAGTACAGTTGGGGGAGAGGCACATGTCACAGTGTGGGGTGGGGGGAGGTAGATCCGAGGGCAACCTGGGGGAGTTGTTGTGTATTCCGGGGACTGAACTTGGGTCATCGGGCTTGGCAGCTCGAGCCTTTTCCTGTTGAGTCTTAGCTGTGCTGTCTAAAAGATTAAACACTTGGGGCTCCTGTCTCCAACCTGTAAAATGGCTCTCCAATGAGAGAATGCAGGCAATGCCCGGCTCAGTCCGTGCTCAGTCTGGGCTGTGAGCACCAGCGATGGACTGACCCAGGCTCCGTCCGAGTGGGCGTGGGCGGCTTAGGACAGCGAGTCAGGACGAGTCCAGGACAGGCTTTTCTGAAAGTCTTCCTGAGGATACCAGGAAGTTCCAGGGTCCTTCTCAGACCCTTCCCCGCCTGAGTCAGGCTGTTCACTGGCCTGCTCTAGGCCTCTGGGCCCCCATCAAACTCAAAGCCAGGCCGAGACTCTGCACCGAGCCAAGCAGCTCAGCCTTATCAGGCACCGTCCAAGAGCGCAAATGGCATCAGCTTTTGAATTTTCTTTTTCAAGAGAGCAAGCAAGCAAGCAAAGGGGATTTAGTCCATCTGCATTACGGAAAGGGAATTCATTCACCCCCACCCCCGAGTTCTGAGATAAAATGGTTCATTGCCGTGAAGATTGAAACCCAGAGAAGAATCCTTCTGCAGCCTCTTGGATGGTGAATTAGATATGGGTGATGAGTACGGCCGGGCAGCAGGCCTTTCCCTCTCAGTCTCCTGGGGCCCGTGTAGGCAGCTCTACAGGCATATGGGTGCTGGGGGGGGGGGGAGATCCAGAAGCTGTAATCAGATTCTCACCTTTGAGCAGTTACCACCCCTCCCTCAATCAGATACACTCAGGCTCACCCTCTCTCCTGCCAACGGACCACTAAAGGCTTGCACGGTTGTGCCTGTGGAGGACATCAGAGAGGACAGTAGTTGGCACTCCTGAAGCTAGAACTTTCTGGGGCAGTTCTTGACCCTGAGTCTTGTCCACAGCTAGCTCAGACCCTGCGAAATGCTGCCCTGCCCTGGTTCTTTGTCTGGGCGCTTTGATGAGAAACTAGGCAAAAGCCAGGCTTGGTCATCTTGGGGAAGGATTGCTCGTGGTTGGAAATCATGAGTAAAGTTTGAAAAATAGCTGAAGAAAAGTCCTGCTTAGGCAAGCAAGTTTCCCGGCGGTGGGGGGGGGGGGGGGGGGGGGGGGGGCAGGGCGGGAATAAAGGCCAACTGGCAAGGCCCGAGGAAACAATCAGACAGTCTCTGGGTTGTTCACCTTGGGGATCATCCACCCTTCCCCAGCCCTCCTGAAGCATGGGAAACCGAGAGGTACTCACATTAAGGTGATTGTCTAAGAAGGCTCAGTGCAGGCCGGAGCCAAATTCCTGCGCAGTCCCTGTGCTTGCTATCCAGATCCCTCACTCCGCCTTCTCCGACTCCTCCATCCAAACGCAGTTTACATTATGTATCTGCTCCCCAAGGGCTGTTGGCCCTGGCAGATGTTTGTGGCAGAACCCTGGTCCCGGTCCAAGGCTTAGACCTTCTGGGCCCTGTGTGAGCGAGAACAACTTAAAGGTGTAGGTGGATTGATCTCATCGGCCAAGTATTGCCCGAGTGAGTGTCTGCGTGGAGCACAAAGACTGTGAACTCCTGCACTTAGACTTGTAAACCGGTTCCCCCAACTTTCCCAGCCTCCTGTGTGTGCTGCTGCTGTTCTTCCGGGAAGACTGAGGCAGCGGCGGCTCCAGATGGAAAGGGGCGGGGCAGGACCAGGCAGAACCGGGCTTCCGGTCCTCCTCACATCTGCCCATTCTCCAGCTGTAGCTTCAAACTGGCTTCCCTCTTCTCGGACCCAAAGCTTTCCTGCTTCCCCTCTTGTGTCTCCACAGGGGGCAGCCGTCTTAAACAGCACACGCAGACCTGCTGATTGCTTGTGGTTCACGCAGGCACAGGCGAACCTTCAGCCATGGGGCTGCAGAGGCCGGAAGGAGGTAGCCAAAGAAAGCCCACCTTGGTCCTCCACCGCCACCATCCCCGATCTTTTTTTTTTTTTGGAGACAGAGTCTCACTGTGTGAGTCTGGCTGGAACTCACAGAGGTCCGCCTTCCTCCGCCTCAAATGCTGGATCAAAGCTGTGCCCGTGTGATCCCTGGAGTTTTGAGGACTGATGGGTTGGTATCCAGAAATGCAACAGGCCAAGGAGCTGGGGAGTAGGATAAGTATGTATCACGTTTCCCCCAAGCTCTTCCCAACTCCTTGGGACCCGATGTAGCCAAGCCGCCTCTGAGAGTCCACGGCCTTGGTTTTCATTTGCATTCCAGCTCAGAAGCCTGTTTTCTAATCTTGTATCATTTTGGCCAGGTCTCTGCAGTATATTGTAGGATCCTGGCTTGGGCTGCTAAAGATAGGAAACTATCAGACAGGGAAATGCTACCAGCGTTCTGTACCAGGACACTGGAGTAGACTACACACAGACACAGACACACACAGACACAGACACACACACACACACACACACACACACACACACACACACACAGGAAATAACCTGGCCTCCTAGTGCTAAGCCTGAGCCTTTGGTGATTTGGGGCAGGAAGGTGTCGACTCAACATCCTGTTTAAATCTGGCACTAGTCAAGATTTTTAACAGGGGTTATGACCCACCGTCCTCCCTTTCCCAGGCCTTCCTTACATGGTCCTCTAATCAGTTTTAGCTTTGACTCTAATTCTGTTCTTTACCTTGGAGCTCAGGCCCCGGCCCAGCTGAGGGGGGTGCAGTGTGATTTCTCTGCGCCACGAGACCCAGATGGCAGCTGGGGACCGGAAGGTGGGAAGAAGAAAGGAGAGAGAAAACAGAGGGACGGACAACAAAACTGAGACAGAAATGGGACGGAGGTGTGTGTGCGCGTGCCGTGTTGTGTGGAAGGTGTGTGTGTGTGTGTGCCGTGTTGTGTGGTAGGCGTGCATGTGTGTGCCGTGTTGTGTGGGAGGTGTGTGTGTGTGTGTGTGCCATGTTGTGTGGGAGGTGTGTGTGCATGCCGTGTTGTGTGGGAGGTATGTGTGCATGCCGTGTTGTGTGGTAGGTGTGCGTGTGCGTGCCATGTTGTGTGGTAGGCCTGTAAACGCGCCAGGGCTAAGGGTGGTGCGGGAGGCTCAGAGGACGCGCAGCAGTGAAGGGGAAAGGCCTAATCACACTCAGGCCCGGCTGCAGCGGATCTGAGTCCCCTGCTGGCCATCTGAGCGGAGGCTCTGCCTAGCAAGCACCCAGCCCCTGTGACTCCCGGGTGGAGAAGCCCACATTCCTGCCCAGCAAAGGCCCCTTTAATCAAGGCTCCAGACCCTTCCTGCAGCCGCCCGGGGGGGACTGTAACGCTAAACACATTAGTGTGTGAGATTGAAAGGTAACACATTCTCATGGAAGCCCTCGGAACAATGGGTCTCAGGTCTGGGTTTCATTTGCAGGAACTGTGCGGTGGGAATTTCTCTAATCAAATAAAAGAAAATGAAAAAACTCTATCGTTCACAAACGTTAATGCTCTTAATTGCATTAATTTGAAAAACACAAAGTCTCTCTGAGTACGGTGTTGGATCCTGATAGGGATGGGCGGTCAGGGCTCGGCTGGGCCAGAGGCCGGGGTCTGGTAGCAGCAGTGGTGCCAGGCAAGGCAGCCAGTGTGGCCCAGGCTTGAAAGACACTCTGGCAGAGACTCAAATGATAGGTTGGCCTCCTCTGTCCCCCCACGGCCCCTCCCAGCCCTGGTATTTCCGGGACCTTATGGTGGCTGAAGAGGCCTGACAGCCCCATCAGGCCACTTGGCCCGGACCTGCTGCTGTCACTCAGGAAGGGGGAGGGCAGACCCTCTGCTCTGTCAGCACCTCCAGCCTGGGCCCAGCTGCTCTTCCTGCAACAGGCCCCACCCTGGATGCCTCCAGAAACCCAGGCCTCAGATTGTCCTGCACAGCCACTCAGCCATGCAAGACCTCCTGGGACCCGGAACTCTGTCGCTACGGATGATGGAAAAGAAAGAAACGAGTCACAACACTAGTCTCTCAAAATGGGGTGGGAGCACCTGGAGCTTGAGGGGTGCGAGCACCTGGAGCTTGAGAGTGGGAACCTTCATTTTCTGAGCTCTAAGCGCTATCATCAGATTTCTCACTCAGGGTTAAAGCGCTGTCCAGTGCCACAGAACTCTGAAAGCAGTTACAGAGCCTGAAATGGGCAGCTGTGGGCTGCCTGACCTGGGTACCAGACACTGAACTGGTCCTCTGAAAGAATGGTACAAGTTCTTAACCACGGAACTATCTCTCCACCGCACCCCCCTGCCCTGTTCCTCCTCGTTCTTAAGCTTGTAGTAAATTCGTCTCCTAAGTATCTTTGAAACCCTGTGAGGTCTCTATGAGAACTGACTCCCCTGAGGCTAAGAGGCAGGATTAGTCCTCTGCCCCAGATAGCTGAGACCCTGAGACACTGGTTGACTTCTTCGAGGACACATGGAAGCAGAATCAGGACTGACATTCCAGAAATGGGCCCCACTACAACATCTGCTGTGCGGCAGGTTCTTTGTGCACAGGAGCGCCCCCGCTCCATCAAAACCCAAGTTTCTCAGCCACAGGTGGACTCCTGCCTTGCAGCACACTGCCTCCCCAAGACAAGGATGGGAAGCCAGGAGCTTCCAGAGCTCTTTTCAGATTGTCTTTCTTTGTGAAGAATGCTGTCAGCCGTCAGCCAACACCACTTACTCAGAGCTCTGGGCGTGGACTAATGAGGGACACAATCCTTGCCCAGACAGAATGGAGGCTTTTCATGTGGCCAGATATGCAGCCCTCCAGAGGGAGTGGGGGAGGGGGACCCAGTTATATCTTGAAGGAGCCATGTGACTCCAAGTAAGTGACACCTCTCTTGGCCTCAGTTTCTCCACACGTCTGGAAGGAACCGGAGGTGCAGGGCTTGCTAATAGGATCGATGAGTTCCAAGAGACGCACAGAGTAGGTGTGCTCGGACACTTCTCTACGGTTCTGGCAAGGTGACGTGCTCCCCTTGCCCTCCAGCCCAGCTGTCTGCTCCAGCTCAGTGTGTAAAGCTCAGGAGGGGAGCTCATCCGGGACAGGGGAAGCCCTGCGTGAAGATGATTTACAAAAGCACATTGTGTTTAGTTTGCAAACCCAGTGGAACGCTGGAAGTGGGCACGTGCTCTCCCCAAGCTGGCAGATGTTGTTTTTAAGAACTTCTGGGGAGCCGGGCGGTGGTGGCACACTCCTTTAATCCCAGCACTTGGGAGACAGAGCCAGGCAGATCTCTGTGGGTTCGAGGCCAGCCTGGTCTACAGAGCGAGATCCAGGACAGGCACCAAAAACTAAACAGAGAAATCCTGTCTCAAAACAAAACAAAACAAAACAAAACAAAACAAAACAAAAAAAACTTCTCGGGGTAGAATCTCGGGGGGGAAGGGAATCTCATGAGCCCATCACTCCTGTGACCTGGTTTGATGCTCTCATCCAGCCTACCGAGGGAAAATATCACTGACGCTCACACACCAACTCACGTCTTTCCGACTCCACCACATGGCACCCCAGGGCCGCTGGTGTAACTAAGGTCATGTGGTGGGAAATAGAGGCTCCGTGCCCCCCGCCTTACTTTCACTGGAGGAATGAGAAAGTCAGAACCGGTGGATGAAGCCCAGGGAGGGAGACCTCAGACAAACAAGGTTGCAAACTGCACACCGGTCGGCGTGCCTCAGTTTAAGCAAACCCAGTCTATCCAAATCTAAAAATAGCTCGTTCTTTGGAATGCTTTCCCATATGAATCCATTCCCATATGAGAAAGACTCACTGGCTCTTTTCTTCAAGAAGCCAACTCCATTAGTGCATTAAAATAGGACTCAAGTTGCCAAATGTGATTTCATATGCAATCCCTCTCCCCGCCTCCAACATACTTCTCACCCTTGATCCCTAAGGAATACTCCGCCTTGAATAAAGAGAGGTTCGCCTGCAGGGGGGGTGAGGGGCTGCTAACCAACATGGCAAACACATGTCCTGGATTTTCTGAGACCGGCTCACTTTCTAATATTAGGTTTCCATTGTCCCATGAGCACTCTTGGAACTATCAGGCCTTGGGGACTGATGCTCTGGACTGCATGCGAGGTCAGTCAGTCAGGAGAGGACACTGTTCTGTCAGGACCCCCTTTTCCAACTCGGCAGGCAGGACTTAGGGGCAGGGCAGGTTGGAGAACTCGGTGACAGGAGAGAGGGTAAAGACAATTCTATGATTGGGGGAGCTGTGTTGGGTGGGGGATGTTGGACACAGGGTGAGTCAGCTGGGAAGGCAGCCCCCCATCCTGGGTTCCTGGGATCGATTAGAAGCATGCCATGTGAAGCAGACATGCTCCCTGCACCGCGCTCCTCGGGGAAGAGAGTGGGCGGGTCCCTGGAAGGTGGCCAGGGAAGAGCAACTCCATGATTAAAGGGTAGGAGACCAGGACTAGTTATTTATGCATTCATCTCTTGGTCTTACCTCTACCCACCCCCCAACCCCCACCAGCAACTCAGACCCA